TGGAGATATTGCTAAACTTTGAAAAGCATAGATAGGGCCAAACTATGCTTAAACATGCTTCAGATGCATAATTTAAGGATGAATATATTCAAAGAGTTAGTACCAAATCCAGTAAATGTTCCGCGTAGAGGCAATAAATCAATAACTTAAAATCAACTGAACTTGTTTCGCCTCAATGTAACTTGTTATAATAATATGGACGTCATCAGAAATAAAAGAACAAGAGGCTAAAATAAAATAAACCCACGAGTACAGTATCCTGCCCGCCAACAATGGAGAAACCGAGGTCTTTGCCAGGCTTTTTGACCAAGTCAATCACAGTCTCGACGCCAGGCACGAGTGGAGTTTTTCTGTTTCTGGAAATATCCTCAGGCCGTCCAGCTCCTAGGCTCTCGATCGCCTCGGCCTGAGGGTTATAAGCACCAGAGGCAGGTTTATGGCTGGGCTGAAGAGGAGCTATGGTCGAAATGGTGAAATAGTGTGAAAGACTCGTTAATCACGCTGCACAGTATTGAGGTGGTAAGTCAACGCAATTTATAATACTCAGTAAAAACGACCGCACTTCACCGTCGTGCAGCCCCGACGTATCTGTACTGACTTGTTCATCATCAGAGCTAGAATCTATTATTTATAAAAATTGACTAAACTGACTAAATCAATAAAGCTGGCCGCCTGAAATCATACCTATCATTTATACCCAATCATGAGGTATAAGTGAGGCACCCCATGATTTGGTTCATTACTTCATGCCTACCGTAGATGCATGCAAAGAGTGAAGGCGATGCACGTAAGGTGAGCAAATTTGATCCGAACTGCTTTTTCACTAAGATCAAATGACGCTTGTATTAGTTTTATGAATGCATTTACACTATACTTGTACGCAAAACCCCAGTCTGCAGATAATTTAAACCACAAACCAGACTCCCCGTTAATAAAGCCTTCGCTTTTTCAGTGGCTCTTCCTGCACTCTCTGTCCCTATGGAAATTCCATTTAATTGCCAAGGTAGTTCCTGCTTAATTTTCTATACTCGTTCCTCCTATTTTATTAAATTTATTTGACTGCTTAATCTTCCCTTTAGCTGTCAAATATGATGTTCTGCAGTCGATAAACCCTTCTAGGTTGCTATGTATTCTAATCTTCTATGTATTATTCGAGAAGGCTTCTCAACACGAACAATAATAAATAAACACAATACCTTTTAACGTAATGATCTACAGAGGAGCTTAAGAGGTTCAGATATTTTAAAAATTAAGTTAGACCTTAGGCTATTGGTCGAGTATATAGAAGGCTATTTTGCAAACTAGCAGGCAATTACTGTAAAGGAATGTGTATAATGAAATACTAATACTCTTCTTAAACACGACTGCAGATCAGGTTTTTCTGCCAATGCGATAGTGTCTTTGTGGGGAAGACTTGTGGACCTGTATCATATAAGAGGTTACTCAAACACAGAAATAGGAAGTGGCTAAACATATGGTCACTGCACGACTCCAAATAGTAGGGAGGGGAAAATGTTAAGGGTGAAATGGAATGCGAAATCACGAGGTCCTCTTACTTACGAAGTGTAAGAAATTATTTCAAAAATTAATGAGGCAAAGAGCCAAAACAATTAAATGCTATAACTGAACTTTTATGAGGATCTTAAAAAAATTAGCACACCTAATGGTCTGTCTGGATGCATGGCAGACTGTTTGACAGATAAGACCGAATTCTAATGTCATTGGCGCGTAAACACATTTAATGTGTTGGTCGGAATATGAGAAATAATAAAAAAATATGGTCGTAAGTCTCAGTGATAAGATGGACGACCAGTTACAAACCTGGTGATGCAGTCTCCGAGTTAACCTGAGGCTGTCTTGAGGCAGGGTCAGGCGAGTTATTTGACGTGGAGAGGGAAGTAGTCGGTAGTACTGGAACCATGCGGGCAATCTTTAGCCTTACGCCAGTCTTCGAATTCTTCATTAGTTCTAATGTTTTTTCGAAGTTATCGTTGGCTTGACCATCGACCGATAGGATACGATCATTGGCTTGGATCATACCTAGCTGTATTTGAAGATGGTGGTGAGAACGAAAAGTGCCCATAAACAATTATGAGGAAAGTAAGTCTAAAACTATTCAAATTATTAAGTCCTATGGTAAAGATGACATTAGTAAATTGGGAAGCTTAGAAGCTCTATAACAATGGTGAATGATAAAATAATAAAAGACCATAAGAGTACTTTAGACGAGCGAAGGTTCAGTCCGTTTTCGCCCGAAATGCTGGAGGATGTCTCGTGGACTGCATCAACCTGAACGTCGTACTGAGCCAAA